TTTTTCTTTTTACTAACTGTCAACCCACAGGTCAGTTGTGCAAGCGGCGGAGGGTACAGAAGCAGAAAGCTTATTGTTAGAGAGTTATGTTCCCATGGGCGATAGCCAAACAGTAATTTTCCAGCCAGCACACTGTGGCTTAAGACAAGCACCTTAAGATTTGGCAGCTAGTATTCTGAGGGAGATAAAGATGGAAAGAGGAGATAAAGATGAAAGGTGGAGTGTCAGTCAGAGAGAAAGGAAGAACAGAACAGGAGAGTGAAAAGGAGCGTTTCTATCAATCCCAGGACTTTGTGATTGTATTAGTTTTCTCTTGCCACAGAATAAATTGCCACGAGCTTTGCTGCTCAAAATAGCACACATTTATTATCTCCTAGTTTCTGTCCAGGCACAACCTAGCTGGGTTCTCTGCCTCAGGATCTTACCAGGATGTAGTCCAGGAGTTGGCCAGGGCTGGGTTTCATCATAGACTTTACTGGGGAGAGATCTGCTTTCAAGCGCCTCACCTTGTTGACAGAATTCACCTTCTGTGTTTGTAGGACCGAAGTCTTGTTTTCTTGCTGTTGGCCAGGGGGCCACTCTCAGCTCCTAGAGGCTGCCCACAGTTCCTTGCCCCATGACCCTCTCCATAGGCCCACTAATTTCTCTAGTGCCCCTAGCAAAATAGTCTTATCTACACTGTAACCTAACCATGGAAGTAACATCTCATCACCTTTGCCATGTAATTCAGTCTAGGAAGTAACTAATAGAAGCTGAATTCTGTTAGTTAGAAGCAATTCACGAGACCTACCCACACTCAGTGGAAGGGGGATTATTTAGGATATGAACATGGAAGCCACTCTAGGGTCTGTCTGCCACAATGACCTTGGACCTAGACTGTTTCCCTCAACTCTTCTGGTTTCTCTGTATCTGCCAGTTTCTCTTCCCCAAAGTTGCAACATTTTCTCCTCTGAAGCACCAGAGCTGGAGAGGACATTGGGGACATCATAGTTCCTCTGTGGGACTTCCAGACCTGCTGGGCTCAAAGAGCTCTTTAAAGATTTCTGGAGAGGCTAAAGAAGCCCACCTAGTCCACTGGAACTTTGTCCTGGACCAGTTCTCTAACTCCTGGCTGGAAACTCTGTCCCTTGAGAACCCTGAAACTTTTTTTGGCCTTTCTCTATGTCTCAGATCAACTTACACTAAGAATGCCATCTTAATGAATGTTGCTTGTTCCACAGACAAAGCTGAGGACCCCAAGAGAAAAAAAATAAGGGTCCTTTGAACGCCAAAGGATTGGTAAACACTCTGTAGTCCATCCATCCCTGACATCTTAGAGAAAGAAAAACAGCCTCTACCCAGAGCTGGTGTCTTTTCCCCACACCTGGCCAGGATTGTGAGAATGAGTTGAGGCCAGAGTGGGGTGCAAGGGTTAGATTGTGGGGGCCCCTGTATTATTAAAGATTGGACTTTATTTTGATGAAAAGGAGAGGGGAGGGACATGGTCAGATTTGGGTTAGAAAGATGACTCTGACTCAATGAAGGAATGCATGTGGAATGGGGAGGAGGAGCAAGACTGAGGTGATCTACGTAATAGAGGAAAGAGCCTGTACCACGTTAGTGGCTGCAAGGAGGGATATGAGCTGAAAGAGCTGAGATCTATTTAAGAGGCTTAATTGGCGGGCATCAGAGACAGGGTAAATTTCTTGGATGAGGGAGAGGGAGGCAACACAACAGACTTCTGAGTTGACAGTCACATCATTCACTCAGCAAGGGAGCAGGAGAAAGACTGATCATTTTTGGACATGTCAGTCATGACGTCAAGAGGGCAGTTGGATATTCAGGCTCAGAGCTCAGAGAGCTCTGGGCTGGCCAGGTATGCTGGGCAGCCCTGGAGATACGGGAGGCAAGCACATTGGAGCCGCAGAAGGTGGATGAGAAGGGGCAGATGAGCAAGCCCAGGGCCTCTGGACTCTCCTGCCTTGCCTTATACTGCTTTCCCTTTGCTCTGAACTTCTCCAGTCCTGGAAAACACTGAAAGGTGTCAGAATATGCCACCCCAAAACATGCCACTTTGGCATAAAGATTACTTTGAGCTAAAGGCACGTGAAATGCAAGAAGGGCATTCTAATTTCTCTTTTTCTTCCTGAAAACAGGAAATAAAAACTCCCCTGAGAAAACTGATCTCTCTGTACCAGGAGAAAATTCTTTGACAGGGAGTCAAAGCCAAGAGAATTCTGTACAATTATATACAAACATACCTTCTTAAAATAATTCTTACTTTCCTTTAGCCTCCCCACATTGATTACTTTTCCAAAATTGCCTCTTTGTTTGACCTACAATAAAAGCATGTAGTAAGTTCCATAATTTCTGGGGGTTTTTGTTTCCTTATAAGGGCTCTCATGTCATATAAAACTTAATAAATTTGTATACTTTTCTCCTGTTAATCTGTTTGTCAGTCTAATTCTCAGGCCCAGTTGAATAATCCTGAGGCCCGGTTCTACAGATTTTGTAGAACCTCCCCTACCGTCCCTGCTCTACCTCACTCAGGGCCTCTGCCTAGAATGGGCTTCTCCCCCCACCCATCCACACACACTTTTACTTGGCTGACTCCTATTCATCTCTCAGCTCTCAGCTTAAAAATCTCTTCCTCCTTCAGGAAATCATCGCTGACCTTCTGCACTGGGGTCCCCCTTAGCCCACTCTGTACCTCCTACCTCCTTGTCCTTTTTTTCCATGTTCTCATCACAAATAGTAATTATTTGTTGAATGACTGTCTTCTCTGCGGGACTGAAGGTTCTGAGAAGACAGGGAGGGGGTCTGCTCTGCTCTCTGGAATCACAGTGTCTAGTACAGAGGCCAGCGTATATTAAATACATAATTGTACAAAAGTTGACTGAAAAAAGATCCTGGATTAAGCTTTCAGGAGCTTTGACATTAAAAAATTGAGTAGTCCCTTACCTGTATTTTCCCCCACCACACCTCACTCCTAAATGAAAATTTTTTACTCATTCTCACTTTGCTTCCATCTGTGAGCTGCCATCTGTAATCTTATAGTAGTTTATGTACTTACCTTATTCATGACCTTGTATTTTAATTTACTTGTGTTAGGCTGTAAGTGCCTTGAGGGCAGGAACTGTTATATAACTTATGACTCCCACAATATATTATGTATTATAGTTGTTCAATAGATATGTAGGATTTTTTTTCATCACCAACACTTGGTTTTTATTTTTTATTTTTAGGTTTTAGCCATTATGCTGGGTGTGTAGTCATCTCATTATGCTTTTTTAAAACTCTTATTTGATACCAATAAAATTAAACATCTCTTCATGTGCTTACTGGCCATCTGTATATCTTCTTTTGTGGAGTTACCTTTTGTAAGAGTTGGTTTTTTTATCGAGGTATAATTGACATATACCATATCAGTTTCAGGTATACGAGAAATTGATTCCACATTTATTACGCTGTGAAATAATCACCACAATATGCCTAGTTAAGATCCATCACTACCCGTAGCTGCACATTTTTTTCCTTGTGATGAGAACATTTTAAGATCTCTCTTTTAGCAACTTTCAAATATACAATAAGATATTAACCACAGTCACCATGCTGTACATTATATCCCCAGGACTTATTTCAGATATGTTTTGAGTAAATGAGTTAACAGTTTTAAAAATTGGGTAGAAGAAAACCTAGAGAGTAAGTGCAGAGGCATCATCTGAGAGGAAGAAGGAGAATGTGAGGCCACAATGCAGATACGTGTTATTTGTACATTTATCAAAACCCATCGAATGTACAACACTAAGAGTCAACCTAAGGTAAATTATGGACTTTGAGCTATAATGACTTATCAGTACAGGTTAAACTACTGTGACAAATGTGCCACTCTGGTGCAGGATATTGACAATGGGGGAGTTTGGGAGGCAGGGGATATATGGGAACTCTGTACTTTCTGCTCAGTTTTGCTGTGAACTTCGAACTGTTGTTAAAAAACAAACAAACAAAAAACACTACGTCTATTTGTTTTTAAAGCCAAGGCAGAGAATGTTGAAGGAGGAGCATGTGTATGGTCAACAGAGTTGACTGTTGCTGAGGCTGGGATCAGGAGAGAAACATATCTCTTGGTTAGTGATATGGTTACATTGGTCAATTTGGTGAGAACTGTTTCTCCTGATAAGGGTAGCAGCTAGATTGAAGAAGGCTTAAATGAATGGAAGGCAAGAAAGTGATTAAATGATTACTAAAAACCCCTTTAAGAAGCATGCCTGTTGCTGGAGAAAGAACATCACACAGGTAGGGCAAGCGTTATTCTCTTGCCAAAGGGGACAAAACATTTATAAATAAGTGTGATCAAGACTCTGAATTTAGTTGCTAAGTTCAGGTGACAGAGGAATCTGCCGAACTTGCCCCATAGATATGCGATTAGCAAAATCCAGACTGCAGAAGCTTTTAAAAGACATATCAAATTTTTAAATTTTAGCAAGTCTAAACTGTAATGTCTACCTATACACATTTGAGTGATAAAATTGTAAAGAAATGCATGGGAGTGATAACTCTGAGTCAGATTTGTTACTTTTGACGATGAGGAAGGGGATATGACCGAGTCAGAGCACATGAGGGAGTTTCTGGGTGGCCGTTGCCAAATGTGTTTGCTTATTATAACTCATTAAACTCTAGAGGAAGAAGTCTAGCTGTGAAGGGAAGAATAACATGGAGGGAGCCAAGAAACTGGGGTGTGTGTGTGCATGTGTGTTTAACAATGGCAGAAGCAGGCAGAAATCACTGCAGTGGCCATTTATGTCCCTCTCTCCATGTTGTTCCATAGTTCACGAGCCCTTCCACTTCTGTAGAGGCAGAAAAGGCAAGAGTTATTCTATTTTCTAGTCAGAAAAACCAAGGCCTGGGCATGTATGACTTTCCCAAGCCACAGTGGTTCCTCAAGGGTAGAGGCTGCCCAAGCCCCAGTCCAGGAGTGAGCAGGCCAGCTGGCTCACCCAAGGCTGCCCGGTCCCCTGCAGGAATCACTGAGATTATCATGAACAGACCGCATGCCCGCAATGCGCTGGGAAAAGTCTTGGTCAGTGAGGTGAGAAAGGGCAGACCCCAGGGGCGGGGCGGCGGCTGGGGCTGGGGCTGGGGCTGGGCTGGACAGGGAGCTTATCTGACATGGTCTTCTCTGCAGCTGCTGGAAGCTGTGGCCCAGCTGCGGGAGGACCGGCAAGTACGTGTCCTGCTCTTCAGAAGTGGAGTGAAGGGTGTGTTCTGTGCAGGTGGGTTTCCTCCCCTGACCCAACCCCAGGGCTCAGCAGGACTCTCACCAGCCTGCAGTGGGCAGGTCAGCTCTAGCATTGAGCTTATTATTCCCATTTTACAGATGTGAACTCTAAGACTCAGAGGTAAAATTCCTTGCCTAGGCTCATAGAGCTAGTAAGAGGCAGAACAGAACTCAATTTGAACTTGGCCTCTCTGACCCCTAAATCCTTATTCTTTTGGCTACGCCATACTGTGTTCTGAACCATCATTGAGGAAATGAGTCCAGACTTTCACAAGGTCAGTGGCCAAGATGGTACTCTGTGCCCCTTTGTCCAGTTCCTGTCACCAAAGCTCTCTAATATCTCTGTACTCACTTGGTCTTTAAAACAGGGCAAGCACCATGAACTTCCATTTCAAAGACAGAAATACCACATCCTAGATCCACAAGAAGCAAGTTAATAAAAGCTGAGCTAAAAACCTACTCTGGATGGTTGGGGAGAGGGTAATGGGGGTCACCGGGGAAGCAGGAAGTGGCTGTGGAGGATGGGAGCAGCATGATTTTCAGGATTTTTCAAGGGAATGTGGTTTAGCTCTGGCTGAGGTCCCCGCCCTACGCTGGCCTCTTCCTTCATCTCCATGTCTATCTGACCTCCTCTATCAAGGTCACTTCATGCCCTGTTAGCACCACTCCTCGCTATCCCAGATAAGCAGGGGCAAGTAGGACAGAGGTCTGGGTCTGCCCCTGACTTGCTCTGAAATCCTGGGCTAGTCTCTGCCCTTCTCTGGGCCTCCATTTCCCCATCTGTCATTGAGGAGCTGGAACTAATCAGATTTCCAAGGGCTCTCCGGCTCTTGACTTCATATAGCCTAGAACTCAAAGTTAAGACTGTATTCACCCCCTACTCCCACCTCAGCCCCCTGCCATCTGGCCTTTGGTGGCCCTGCCATAGTCACTACTCTCACAAGGTCCTCGTCCATCTCCGCGCCAATGTATTCTGTGTTTGCTTCTCAGTTCTTACCTAACTTGAACTCTCAGCCTCCTTGGACCCCAATGATCCCCCTCCCCCACTTTAAAAAATAACTATACAGCAATATATCGATATTTCTCAATAAAACTGAGGAAAATCAATAAATTTTTATTTTACCTATTTTAAAAGTTGTACTAAATATATACAGCACACAAAATTTACATTTTAACTATTTTAAGTTTAAAGTTCAGTGACATTAAGTACATTCACAAGGTTATACAACTAACACCACTGTTGCAGAAATTTTCCATCATGAACTCTGTGCCCATTAAGCAATCTTTCCCCATTCCCTCCGCCCCCAGCCCAAATAACATCTCGTCTATTTTCTATTCCTATGAATTTGCCTATTCTAGGTACTCATATAAGTGGAATCACATATTTGTCATTTTGCATCTGGCTTATAAACTTAGCATAATGTCTTCAAGCTTCATCCATGTTGCAACATGAATCAGAACGTCATTCCTTTTTATAGCTGAATAGTATTTCTTTGTATATATACACATTTCGTTAATCCATCTATCTGTTGATGGACATTGCATTGTTTACACCTTTTGACGTTGTGAATAATGCTGATATGAACATTGGTGTGCCAGTATCTGTCTGAGTCCTTGCTTTCGATTCTTTTGGGTATATCCTTAGGAGTGGAATTACTAGATCATAGCAATTCTACATTTAACTTTTTGAGGAACCACCAAAATGTCTTCCATAGCAGCTGCATCATTTTATCATCCCACCAGCAATGCACCAGGGTTCTCCACATCCACACCAACACTTGTTTTCTATTCTTTGTTGTTGTTTAAATAGCCATCTAATGGTTGTGAAATGTTATCTCATTGTGGTTTTGATTTGCCTTTCCCTAATGACTAATGATGTTAAGCATCTTTTCATGTGCTTATTGGCTATTTGTATATCTTCTGTGGAGAAATGTCTATTCAAGTTTTTGTCCTTTGTGGGGTTTTTTGTGGAGCTGTAGGCCTTTATATATCCTAGATATCAATCCCTTATCAGATGTGACTTGACAATATTTTCTTCCATTCTGTGGGTTGGCTGATTCACTCCTTAATCGTGTCTTTTGATGCATGAAAGTTTTTAATTTTGTTTACGTCCAATTTTCTTTCCATTGTTGTTGCACCCCTTTTTGTCCCCCTCTCCGTTTTCCTTCCTGGCTTCCTTGACCATGCTTTCCTGGTGTTTCTCCTTCCTTTCTGGCTGCTTCTCCTCAAGTCTCCCTTGCTGGATACTTTCATAACAGCCTAGGATTCAGTAATGGGTTATTTCCCAAAGGCTGTCACCAATCCCTCATCATTTGCAGGCGCAGACCTGAAGGAGCGGGAGCAGATGAATGAGGTGGAGGTGGGGGTCTTTGTTCAGCGGCTCCGAGGCCTGATGGATGAGATTGGTAAGGGTCCTGGAATGGGGCAGAGGAGGGCATTCAGGAGCCCTGCTGATCCCAGCACCATCCACCATGCTCTAAAGAGCAAAGTTTCTGTTTGGACTCTCCTAGGGTTCAGAGGGCGTTTCTCTCAGAGACCTCTGGCCCCTCAGCCTTTGTGCCCTGCTAGTTGTCCCTTCACCACTCCCAACCCCTTCCCCAAACTCCCTTCCCTCAAGGTTCAAGCCTGGCTATTCCATAAGAGTCATGTTTTACCAGCCAGGCTTTCAGGCTTTGACAGTTGCTGTTCCTTTTGCCGGAATATCCCTCCCTAGCAACCTGAAATTTTTACTCATCCTTTAACACCACCAGTCCCACTCTGGGAAGCCTTCCCTGACTTATCCTGCAAGCTTCCTTTATCAGAGCGATGGTCACCCTGGGTTATCATGGCCTGTTTATGGCTCTGTCTCTCAAGTCTGATTCAATTCTGTGTTCCCAGCACCCAGCACAGGGATTGGTACACAGAACAAGGTAGGGGAGCAAAGTAGCCAGTCCCAGGGTGGCCAGCAGGAGAGAGGGCCCTGAGCAGGGATCATCCAGCCTACCTCTTCCACTCTGGTTCCCCAGCTGATCCCACAACTTTCCCAAATGGGAAAGCTGACTTCTAAAATAATTTGGCTGAGGTACCAGGTGAGGCTCCCAAACCTGGGACCACTAAGGCCTTCTGTCCCAACCAGCTAGCCCCTCCCCAATCTTGAGCCCCTGTCCTGGTCCTGCGAGGGCTTCTCAAGCTGAGCCATTCTTCACCTCCACAGCAGCCTTCCCAGTACCCACCATTGCAGCTGTGGATGGGTTTGCCTTGGGTGGAGGCCTGGAACTTGCGCTGGCCTGTGACCTCCGAGTAGCAGGTATTGGGCAAGGGGAGAGTTGGGATAGGGAGTGGAGGGAAGGGTAAGTAAAAGGGGAGGGAAGGGTAAGTCTGAGGATTATGCAAAGTTGGCCACTGCTCTTGGCTTTCCAACCAACAGCAGAACTAAAGGCAAGGTGAGGGGACACAAAAGTTCAGGTGGAAGTTGGTTCACCTCCTGGCTCAGCCCCTGACTGCTATAGAATCCATCACTTCTCAGCACCCGCTTCCCTCATCTCAGGAATGCTTCCGCCAACCTCAGAGCGACTGCTGACAGGATAGCAAAGAGTACAGAGAGGGAAGGCCGAGGATGACAAAAATTAGTTGTTTAATTTCTGTCCAAGCCAGCTTCATCATGTTTCAAAATAAGTTGAGCCCTGGGGGCAGTTTGACACTAGCACACATGATGACTGAACCAAGGTTTGCATAACTTGTTTAGAGCAATTGAGCTTTGAAGAGTGGAGGGAAGGAAGAATAGATCCCATTTTAACCTTACTAACTCGGCGGTTAGGCCTGCCCTTCTTGGAGGCAGTTAGAAAAGGTCTGAGTGCCATCATGCTGCTACTCTCTTCTCCTCACTTTCTCCTGCCACCCCAGAAAGAACATTCTAAAAATGTGTAACTCCAAGCATTGAGGTAGCTTATATTTATACAATGTATATCAAACAGAAGGCATCAAAATACCAGGACATAGCCCCAACTCTGCTAATCACTTCCTCATGTTCGAGGCAACAAAATTGCAGGGTTTTGGCAACAGGCGAGAGCGAATGTAAAACTAACAGGCAGGAGTGATAGCCATCCCCTCCTGTGAACACTACTTGGTTTAGACGGCCTGTGCTGAGGAAATTCAAGGGAGAAGGCTGTGGGGTGGGACACTCAAGAAGGCCTTCTCAGAGGAAGCTGAAGGAGGATGCAGACTGGAACATGGAAATTTAAGGCTGACAAAAAGCTGGAACAACTGTGGTAGGAGCAGGAGTCACTGACACTCTAGGCCAAGCCAGAGCAAAGGGTGTGTGAGACAGAACCCATTAAATCACAAATAGGAATTGGGCACCTTCCTGGACCCCCTCCTTGTTCCAAACACCATTACCTCATCTGATCCTTAGCAGCTCTCTGAAGAGGGCACAAGAAGGGTAGGAGACATTCCTGGTGATGCACACCTCCACCAGTGGGGGTGGTAGGATGAGGGCCTGGGCTTCCTGATCTCCAGGTCAGGGCTTTTCCAAAGGCAGAGTCTAGAGTTCTGGCTATGGCCAGACCATGAAGTGGTTGGCTGGAGGTGTTAACAGAGCCCAGAAGTGGGTGTCTTCTCCCAAAGGACTGGCACTGGAGGAGAGGGTGGGGATTTCACTCTGTTCTGTTTAAGCAGCTTCTTCGGCAGTCATGGGGCTAATTGAAACCACCAGAGGGCTCCTCCCGGGAGCAGGTAAACTCATCCACAGCACCAATCCTTCTCCTCTACTTGCTCAAGTCCACCCTGTCCAGGGTACTTTTCCCTGCTTTCCTCTTCTGCTTTTTGTTCTGGGAGTCTGCTTTTCCATCCTAACTCAGAATCTGTTTCTGAGAAGTCCTGGCTGACTCCCAGCCTGGGCCTTCTCTGGGCTCCCACTTCCATGCTGATTTACCACTCCCAATCCATCCTGGCAGGAGGGACTCAAAGGCTGCCTCGATGCCTAGGCGTGGCTCTGGCAAAGGAGCTCATCTTCACGGGCCGAAGACTGAGTGGGGAGCAGGCACAGGCCCTGAGGCTGGTCAACCACGCTGTGGCCCAGAATGAGGAGGGCAATGCCGCCTATCACCGGGCACGAGAACTAGCCCAGGAGATCCTGCCCCAGGTGTGGTAGCAGCCTAGCAGAGGAGGGTTTCCATGGAAAACACATGAGGGGAAGCCGGGGTGTTCCATGGGGCCGCACATGATCCATTTACCCAGGACTTATTAATATTAACCCTCTTCGGGGGTTCTGCATCCATTCAGCCATCTAGTAAACAAAATTAAATCAAATTTTAAGTTAAAATAAAAACTGAATCGAGGGACTGGAATCAAATGGGCTTGAAAATCCTCAGAACAGCACTGTCCAACAGAACTTTCTGAGACAATGGAAATGTTCTATATCTGTGCTGTCCACTAAGGCTGCACATGGAGTTACTTAAATAAAAAATTTAGTTTCTCGGGTACACTTCTCACATTTCAAATGCTAATAGCCACATGTGGCTAGTGGCTACTAAATTGGACATTCATCATGTCCCAGAAAATGAAAAAGCAAGATTCTAAAGCAAATGAAGAACTAAGAGCCCATCTTTCTGACCATACTACATGGTGGAAAATTCTTAAAATGCATCATGTAGTACTGGTATGTTAAGACCCGTTGATTTTTAAAAATCCTCTGAGAATAATCTCACAAAACGTTTAGAGGCCCAGTGAATGAATTTAGGCCCTGCTTCAGTGTAATCCTATCAGCTGCTAGGCCCAAAGCCGTTAGCAGGATCCAGGATCTGGCTGATGGGGTCTCCAAGGACCAGAGAGGTTCTATTGGCTGCTCATGAACAGGACCCAGAGGGAGGTCCCAAGATTCCATAAAGATATGAAAGCAGCTGAAATTGAGCCTTGTTTTTACTAATTTATAATATATATTGACTTGCCCATATGGAACATCTCCCTTCCATCCATCAGACACAATCTTAGGTATTTCAATAGTCTCAGTTATTAGAACAATACAGTTGAGTTTATTATCCTCATTGTGTTTTTCATTTAACAGATCCAGAAAGGTTAAGTGACTTGCTCATCAAGGTCACAAAAAATGACTGCAATACCAGAAAGACAATATTGATATTTTGACATTTAGTTTGCATAATACAGAATATGAAGTGAAAATGTATTTTTATCCTAAGGAGTACAGAATATATTTACAAAATTTCTAAAACTGTGAAACCATTTAATGCATTTCGAATAGAAAAATTTACAAACATGTTACAAAACAAAAAAATGTAAGTCTGTAAATTGTTAACCATACATCATTTTAACAGATAAAAGTATATGAATTAACTATGAAAATATTTTATTTGGGGGATAAAAATGTGTCTCCTATTTAAATAATCCCACCTCTTTTTATAACTCTTCGAGGTCTTCTTTAAGGGCAGAGTTTTAAATTAACTTTTAAAAATTGATAGTGAGTTTGGTTAAAAAGAATAAGCATTTATATTGTCTTCATTTCTTTTGTTTGTTTCATCATATATAAATAGAGAGTTTGATGTTGTTACAAGAACAATTTTAATGTTATCAGTTCCTATTATACTTGGTCAAAAAGTCTCTGAACTAAAGCAAAACTCTGAATGACTCAAGGTAGTGGCCGATTGCACCTCCACAGAGGAGGCCTATCTAGCAAGATTTGTAGATGGTAGAGCTTATATCTTTCTGCATAGACTGAATAACCAGGTCTTTCAGCTTGATCTCAAGATGATTCTGATTTCAGATTTCTGAATACACTGAAATAATGGTATTCTACTAAAATAAGTACTAGTGTTTCAGTACTTAAAAGTAGCTTTGCATACCAGAACACCAGCATTAAACTAGTACTACAATCACTAATCACAATGTTCAGGACATCTGATGCAACCTGAAAAATCTTCAACTTCCAACCGAGTTACTAGGTGCCTAGGATGAGATTCCCAGATGAGGTGAGTGCCAGGGATGGTGTGGTAGATGGCTGCTCTCTAGTGCACAATCTACCAAGACTAGAGAGTCAGATGGTTCCAGAGATTAGGGCCAAAAAAAGATTTTTAATAAATGCAAGGCCTACAGTTTAACATTCAGATTTCCCCCCTAAACAGTAAATATAGATTATGCTTTGAATATGGATTTGGCTATGTTTCCTACTTGCACACACTGTGGCCACACTGTGACCCACTGTTGTCATTTCCAAGTAAAGTGAAATTATCAGATGTCTAATAATTCTCATGTCTATACAGTCAGAAACATAAATACGTATGTTAACATACACATACAGTATGTTAAAACTATATCTACATAGTTTTAAATTTTCTTTGGTGAGAAATCAGTTTATTAGTTACCTAAATAATAATACATATTCATGACAAGCAAATCAAATAGGACAGAAGAATAAGGGTATAGGTCAAAATGAAAAATAGGGTATCCCAGGTGACCCTGTTTACCTGGGGCTGACTCAGTTAAAAATAGAAGTCCTATGTCCTGATAAACCTTCAGTCACAGGCAAACCAGTTGGTCACCCAAACAGCTCTCAATTCCCCAAGCCCTCTCCTCAGAGATGACCACTGTTAACAGTATACATACTCTTCCAGAAATTTGCATTGCATATATAAGAATAAAAGTTACAAATATATACTCATATATATTTAAATAACTAAATTCCTTTTAAGGATGGTTTAAGGGACAAGGAACACACCATTAGTAGCTAATCTATGAAGTTAAAATATGCATAGTAAAGAATTCAAACAGTATGGAAAAGCATAATATGAAAAGTGAAGTTCTCCATTCTCCTTTTTTTTTTTTTTTTACTTCATTTTACTCTTTATTACCTTTGGGACAGTCTTTTTCCTTCAATAAAAAGAATATACACAGTGATATATATGCTACTGGTAGAAAATGAAGAGTTCTATAAAATGCTATAAGAAGAAATTTCAATTATTACTGAATATGCCAATTCTTAATTTAAAAAATGTCAGTCAATAGACTTAACCTTGAAGCTGACGCACTTCCCTCTGAACCAACAATTCGCTATACATTTCCTAGATAATAATCCCTAAAGGAATGTCATACCAGCACCTTTTACACAGATGGAATAATAACATACATACTAGTAAGAACCTTTTTCCCTGCACCTAACATCTTGTGAGTTTCCCAAACCAGCATATACTTGTCAACCTCATTCTTTTAAACTGCACTTCTTCATTCGTGGTCTGGATGTGTCTGACTCATTATTTAACCAGTACTCTAATGATGAACATTTATGTTGTTTACGTCTTTTTGCTACTGCAAAATAGCTGGAGTTAAATAACTTTGCGTATCTTAGTCTATTTCTAGAAGTACCTCTGTAGGGCAAACTCCAACATGGAGTTGCAACATTAAAGAGCATGTGCATCTAACATTTGCCAGTTCTTGCCAAACTGCCATCCCAAAGTTTTGTACCAATTTACTCTATTAATAGTTATGCAAATGCCTGTTTCCTAATCTCAGCAATAGTAGGCATTGCCAACATTTTCCTATTTACCTAGTCTGAGGTAAAAGGGGCATCTCATTGCTTTGATTTGCATTTTTTAAGACTTAAGCTGAGAAACTCTTGAATTTATATTTCTTTTTCTGTGAACTTTTTCATACCCTTGTGAATGTTTTAAAAAAAAAATTATACCAGCTTTTTATAAATCAAAGAAATTCATGTCATAGTATCACAAATATATTTTCCCAGTTTTTTAGTTCTGCCTTTTATTTGTGGTACTTTTCCCCATTTGAAGGTCTTCATTTTTATGTAACTAGCTTTTTCATTTATGACTTCTATGCTAACAGACTTTTAAAATCATTAGTTTTCTGATAAAGTCTTATAAAAACTTCAAATACTATAATATGAATACTATAGGAAATAAATGCATTCCTTGCCTAGAAGTGGGGCTAAGGATAAAGTACCAGGCCTGTTGTGGCACAAATTAATTGGAAGCAAGACCAGTGAAGCAAAGATGGCACTTTGATGCTCTTTGCTTCCAAGTGGCTATGCAAAATGCCCTCTTGGGATTTCAAACCAGACCTGTCAGACTCCAAAGCCCAACTTCCTAATCTTGACATTTTTACTCTGCTGGGGTGAAACCTGCTTGCAGTGAAGGCTTGCACTTACTGAGATGAGAAGATAGAGGAAGGGAATCAAATCCAAGCTTCACCACCGAGTCACTGGACAAACATGGTCAAGTGCTTCACCTCCCTGTGTCTCAATTAAAGATGGCACTCTCCTAGAAGGGTGGGTAGCACTATTAGACAAGCCTGGGGGTGGGAAAGCACTTTGTAAATTATAGTACGTTATAGAAATGGATTAAATAACAAGAACCCCAGATGGTCAGGATCAGGGATAAGTCAGGTTTCCTTTATTACAAAAAAGGAATATCAGCTGAGAACTAGAAGGTGCTAACACTAATGAACCATAACAGAAGAACAGCTTGAATTCTGCCTTCCTGTCCATGCCTCTTCCACCACCATGGAACTATATGTCTTTATTTCAACTCTCCTATCAGCACTGATCCCCTCCTCAACCAAGCCTTTTCTTTTCCCTAGGCCCCCACTGCTGTGCGGCTGAGCAAAGTAGCCATTGACCGAGGAATGGAGGTGAGAAGGTTCTGGTCTGGGCTTGGGTTCTTAGTGGCTGAGAGGCAGCGAGTACTTTCACAGCTCACACAAACTGACAACATTACTATAAAGAACTCAGAAACTGGACTTTTATAACAGAGTGTAACCTGTGTCCTAGTTTACCCATCTACAAAATGGAAAGGTTGGCCAAGTGACATTCACAATACATTTTATCCTCATCTCTTTCCTTTGGAGGAGGAAAATGTGGTTCTGAAAGGATAAATGACTTATCCAGGGTCACAGAGCAAGTAAAAAGAATCTAGGTTTGTGTGGCTCCCAGTCCATGTTCTTAGGTTTGTGTTGGTGGTCAGTAATGTGGCCTCAAAGACAGAACTTAGGGTGTGGCCTTGGATGCAACCAATCCCATCCCTAGACATCAACTTACTCATAGATTCATTCATCACACACTGAATCTAGAACTGAGCTGGGAACTGGGACAAAGAGATAAGTCATTACCCCTAAGGTGGCAAGGGACGTAGATAAAGACCCAAATCACTCATAAAAGGTTAGGGATACCAAGTGGACACCCTGGAGAGGTTATGGCTGTGCTGTCCCATTGGATAATGCTGGGTCAAAGAATGTTTTCTAGAGTTTGCCTTGGGAAGGATAATTCTGGAAAAAAATAAAAAGTACAAGCAAAAGCAGAGGTGCATAAATAAGCATCTTGACTGAATGAGAGTAAAGGGGTGAGACAACACAGCATGGAGGTTGGGGGCACAAGTTCTGATGCTGGACTTTTCCGGGGTTCAAATAACTACTTTTTCACATACTGTTGTGGCCTTAGACAAATTACTTCATCTTCCTATGCCTCAGATTTTTCAGCTGGATAGTAGGGATAATAACCCTTGTTGTGAAAAGTAAGTTTAAACACATATACAAGGTACTTCTCTTAGAACAGTGCTTGTAGAGGCTGGGAAGTTGCCAAGGGCCAGGTCAGAAAGGCCCGGGCCTTTTTCCTGAGGGCAATGGAAAGCCTGCAAAATTCACTGATGGGGGTAACAGGTGTGGTGAAGTAGCCTGAGGAGAACACTGGCTGTGCAAGCACAGCTCATATGCATACCCTCCTCAGCTCTACAGGTTGTGTGCATTCCTCCCCATTGTTCTTACACCCCCATTTGTCCCAGCACTGTTTTATCACTGTTATGGTGTTCCCTCTCCAAGTAGAAAATTCCTTATCATATTCATCTCTGTTCATGACTGATATAAAGTAAGCCTAAGTAATTCTTTGCTGGAGTAATCCATGAAAAGTCTTTGCTGAAGGGAATAGTATAAGCAGTAGGGTGGGCTGGCTCCCAGTACAGATGGAAGTGGACAAGGTCAGGCTGATCTAGGTACTACTTCTTTCTCGCAGGTGGACATTGCATCAGGGATGGCCATTGAAGGGATATGCTATGCTCAGGTACGTAGCTGCTGCTGGTCAGTCTATGAATACTTGTAAGCAGAAGCCAGGCCAAAGTCAGAAGCTTTGTGCAATACATGACCAATTTAGTAGGTTCTTCCCAACTCAAAGAGTCATACTTTATGCCACTGCCTCTTCGCAATTAGCCTGAGTGACCCCAGGGGAACCACACTGTTTCTCTCTGGGACTGAATCCTCCACCTTTAATAGTGGTGCATCCTGCCCCACCTACTGCCTCACCTACTGCCCAAAGGATCACAGAGCACAGTTACTTGACAGAGAAGAAAAATGGCTTCTGCTGTCTCTTTACCTGTGGCCACTGCAGAGGACACGCTAGAGTTGGGATATAAGAACTTGGTAATAGCCTGTAGGCTGTGTGTGTTCGATGGTGGAGTGGTAAACCTGGGGCTGACCTCTTTAGCCTCAACTCCTGACTAAGTCAAAAATACTAATCTCCAAGTTAACAAATAGCCAAAATACTCTTAAGCAGGAGGTCCTGGGACTTGCAAGGCCTGGTGTGAGGGAGCACACACCAGGATTCAAAGGAGTTCTCTCGAGGCACGTAAACAGTGTGTAAGTGGAGGCAAGTAACAGGCCACAGATTCTAGGGAGGCGGCCTGCCTTCCCCAGGAGACTAAGGAGCCACTGAGGCCCATACCTTTGCTGGGATCAATACCAGAGTCCACAGACAATGGAAAAGCTTGGACTCTCGCCTTGTCATGGGCTAGACAAGCATCTGCAAGCCTTTACTGGCCTCTGGCTCTGCTCCCTGAAAACTAATATTCTGTTGTTGTTTCAGAATATCCCTACCTGGGACCGGCTAGAGGGCATGGCAGCCTTCAAGGAGAAGCGGCCCCCCAGATTTGTGGGCAAGTGATTCCCATTTAACCTTAAACATGGGAGATGCACACTTTAAAGTGCAGGATCCAGAAGGAAAATTGGCAGCATGACTGCTCTCATCATTTCACCTCTCTGGGCTTCAGTTTCCTCACAAGGACAATGATGGATATAAGATGATAAGTACAATGCCCAGTACTAGGGTGCTGACCATGCCACCTACTGCTATCTTCATTATTCCTCACCCTGGGTAGACAATCACTGGGGTCAGGTTCGCTTTAGAGAATACCTGTCTCTCTTTACTAGAATGATAAACTAAGAATTAGACCCTTCTGGGCCTTTGTATTGTTGGCTCTCAGGCAGATAACCTCTGTCTCTCAGTTATCACGTGCTCACCAGAAGTGGCAAGAGGTTGTAAGAGTTTCTAACTCTGTATAATAGAGATCATAAAGAAGTCCTGGTAGAGGCTGAGTAGGAGCCAGGAATCAGACTACAGGTCTAGCTCTCTGCCAGTTATTCACTGTGTGCCTCAACTTCCTCATCTGCAAAATGAAACTGTTGCGAAGATTTTAAATAAAATGCCCCATGTTCAATAAATACGAGTTGTTATTATTAATATACAGTGTTCTTGTGAGAACCAAATGAAATCACCACTGTGAAAACCTTTTGTAAACTACAGGGTGGCAAGGCAAGTCTCTGGTGGCTGCATTAAATAGACTTCAGGAGTATTGAGAAGGGAGTGATGAACTCTGATGGAGAGAATAGAGGGTTAAGATATGGGCAGGTAACACGAGTTGAAGCCTTAAGGATTAACAGGCATTTGAGGCAAAGAGGAAGGTTGAGGGGAACAGTATGAGCAAAGGTGAACAAAAGTATAATACACTTAGAAATAAAAGGGGGGGGGGGTGTTGCTATGCACACTAGTCTAAGTAGCCCTTCTCCTGTTCCAAGGCAGGGGACGAGAAAGCTGCATCTTACACTGTGGTCTTGTGATCATTTTTTAACTGATCTGAGTTCTGCCTAAGTTTCCTGAGCCTAGGCCTGGCTTAGAGCCACTAAGCCATGGGTATGAATACCAGTAACATTTATTTGCTAATAAGTACAACCTGACCCAAGGCTGTGCTCACCTCCTAGAAGGAAGAGTAACAGTGAAGAGCGCAAGCCTTAGAATCAGCCCCAACCACATGAGCTGTTAACTACTCAGGAAAGTAATAACCTTACTGAACTTCCTTTTTCTCATCTGTTAAATGAGAATAAAACTTAGCTACCCCCAGAGGACTGCTGTGAATGGGACAAAACTTGGAGGGATGCCTAGTGTAGAACTGGACCTCAAAAGACACTACTAATTTCCACCACATCTTCAAATTTACAAAAGTTAGTATCTGGTAATAGAAGGTTCCAAACTACTAGAACCCAGGTTGGGAAACTAAGACACCCTTTGAAATCATGCAGAAGAGTGAATGAGAGAAAATGTGGTATAGTTTCGGGACTGTAGAAGGAAATATGTCATAAATTCCCCTTAACCAGTGAGATACTGGTGAGCAGTAGTCTGGAACATGGTTTAGAATAAGTCTTATTTGATTCCAAAAGATGGTATATAGCACTCCAGTTAAGAGTCTGGACAGCCAGTAGAACAAAATTCTAGTCTTAAAATACGCTACTAATATAAAAGGAATTTATTTTTGTTCTTTGAAAAACTTAACAGATGAATAGCAAAACATGTTTGTTAGTTGTCAATAATAAGGCAAGAAAAGAGTTCATACTCTATTCTACAGAGAAGGTTTGCAGAAGACACAAACGAAAGCTTCTGATAGTTTATATTGTGGTTGAGGCTGGTTCTCAGAAAAGCACCTCTTGAAATCTTTGACAAAAGTTTCGTGGCTCTTCCTCTTCCTCTCCATTTTGGTTACAGTCCCAGTCAAATTAAAAATTTGAGGGATTGAGATTTACAATTCCTATACAATCTTTCACCTAAACATTCTAGTCTCTAAGTCCCATCATGCCCCTCCAGTGCACACACATACATAGAATGTTATGCCATTCAGTCTAATACGTAAAGTTGTAAGAAAAAGGCCAAGAGAATATCAAAAATTATAAAAAATATATTTCTCTTTCTTCCACCCCATAAATGGAAAGTACCTTGGTATCTATTTTTTAAGCTTTTTTTTTTTTCTTTTTCCTCCCCTCCAACAGAGGTTCTATCTTTCAAACAACAGAGGTTCTATCTTACAAGCACATATTTCCCAGAACATTTTCATGTACTTCTTTCCAGTGGCTGCACATAACCAGGAAAAACAACTCAGGAGAGTTCTTTCCAACATGAAATTTAACAAATACCAAGGTCTCCATGCAGGTCTTCCTTTTTCTCCTTCCTCTGACAAACTCCCAGAGTTAAGGAATTGGCCAGGGCTAGAGAAAAGTAACTGGCCTAGCTGTTCCAATATCAAGCTCACAGGTCTTCCCACAGAGTCCAGAGCTTGATTTTTCAAAACCGCTGAAGGACAGTGTTCTCAGAATGACTCCAACTTGATTTGGGATCATGGCTATCATACAAATGCAAACTTTTTCTAAGTTACAGAAAATCAATAAAGGATGGCCAACTCGCAAACTCCAACAACAAGGGGGTTCAACATTTAACTGCTGACATGGTAGAAGACTGACCACTGAGGAACAGAGAGTACCTCTGAAGACCTTTAGGTTAAGAAGGGCATTCAACACAAAGGAAGTCTCTGATAATTCATGAAATGCATCCTGAAATCGTCTACAATAGAAGCTGCAATCTGCTGTGCTTGGGGGTCTGCCTCACTGTGCTCCTGGATGTTGCGCAAAAGCTGCAATCCTTCTTCTTCAACTAACATTTTGCAGTATTTGCTGGCTGAAAGAAAATCAAGCAAAAAACTTGATGGACAAATTGGTATTTTAAATATTCTCAAGTCACTGCATTCACTTTTTTGAAGAAAGGGTACAAAGATTTTTAAGCTGTTTGACATAGGAAATAACCTAACATGAATCAATTCAAAAGAAACGAATAGGTCAAAACATAGATAATGCTTGTCTTATATGTGAGATAACACATGATTTTAGTATTATATGTGAGATAACACATGATTTTAGTTTACTTCCAAACAAGTCTATGCTTCAAATAACTCTAAACCTAGCTAAAAGGATAAGAACTTCTTTTATTACAAAAATCACACATTTCAGGTTCAGGCAATATGGTCAGCTAGATAAGCTGAAAACACAAGATGCTGGATAATATGTAATTGAAAAAATTTTAAATACATAGTTGAACATACAAAGTAAAGGAAAAGTCCAGTAGCCAGACACAAAGAGAAGAAAACACTTAAGTCATATAACCTAACCTGCAGCTATCCTGGGGCAGAAAGGGACTGTCAATTTCAGTCATCTAAGAATTCAGATTCTAATTTAGGAAGTTAGAAGCAAAATCAGTGCGTAAAGCTAGTCCCTCAGAGAGCTAGACAAGAGAAGGGATAAGACAATGAAACATCTTTAACTTGATCTGGGTTCTAGGTGGGTATATTTAGGAATATGGAGAAGTCTCTCCTAAGAATTCATAACCTTAGTCCCAAGTGGTTATGAGGTCTGAATTTATACTACCTAAATTTTCTAGAAACCACTGAGCTGAGAAATTAATATAAAAATTAACCCTATTCCAAGGAAAGCTCTAGGGCACTTGACAGAAGTAAATAAAAATTATGTTGAAAATGCATGACCACGATTCAGTCTAAAAAGGATTCTCTTAATCAATCCATGTGCCAATTAGACAAAAATAATGACCCAAAAACACGACTAAGGCAATTATCAAAAAATGTTGCACATGGGCACACACACACACAGAGACATGTAAACTATTTTTTAAAAAAAGATTACAGGGGGTGGCTCCACAGTGCAGTGGTTAGCAAGTCTGCTTTACATGCAGAAGGTCCTGGGTTCGTGCCCCAGGTGGAGCCACAGACCATACCCTTGGTGTGCTAGGCCCCAAGTGCACACTGCAAGTGTGTGCGAGGAGACGTCCCGCCTTCAGAGATCCAGTTCTTAAGGTGAAACGGCAACATCCATAGGTAAGGGATGGAAGGGTAGGGGGGGAATTAAAGATGGGGGAAGAAAAAGATTACAACCTGTGCAATCAGTGTGCCTGCAGCAGTCACAGCCAGACCTCACAGCCAGCTACATCAGGGGCCAGCCCCACATACCAGCATACTTGCAGCTGCCACAACAGAAGACCACAGGCAGCCCACACAGGGGACAGCCCTGGGACATCTGCCTCTGGAAGCCAGGAAAAAC